CAAATCGCTGAATTACATTCAAATCCTATACATTTATGTCGGACAATAATTTTCACATACCAAGTCACCCTGAGGTGTGGAATTTCAAGAATAATTGAAATATGTCTTGAGATTATATCTCGTGACTACAAGTGTAAAACCTTTTTCATAGGTTTATTGAAATTAAAAAATGTTCCCATGCACAAATATTACCCATCCTATCAAATTATAAATTATAACTAATTTGAATCTATTTTGTAAATTGGTAATGGGATTAGGTGCGGTCGCTACGTTCAGAACAAAAAAACCAAAAAAAAACCAAACGATTCAGCCAGATTTGTGAGATAATCAAATAAATCCCGGTATTTTCAGTACATTGTAGCACTATCCGGTTACATCTCTTTTATTTTTTGACCAGTGATTGTCTAGGTTGGTTTGTCCCTGGCGCGGCTATTGTTGCGTCTGTCTCCTTTAGGATTTTAACGTTGTGGTTCCTTATCATACCGACATCAAATAGGTAACAGGGACAGCAATAGTTTTTTATAAACGTAATAGTCTACATGATGATAGTTAAAATTACACATGTCTTTCTCTCCACCCCACTCCTGGCTCTTACAGAATCAAATGGTTGTCTGATGTCTGGTGTCTGATCATTAGAGCCCTGGTTTTGCCCGTTTATAGGTGCCAACATCTCTAATGCTTACGTCATAGACTGATAACAGCTAAATTCCAAATATGGAATAGGTATGCACCATACCCTGGATATCCGCAGGGATTATTACCTAATTTGGTCAACAAATATCACATACGTTTATGACAAAGAAAAATGTAAATGACCCACATGTTCATTAAAGCACAATATCGGTGTCAGTCATTATTACATATGTGATAGAACTGGTTAAACACGTTCCAAATATAATTTTAACACAGAGATCATTGCTACGATAGATGCGTAATGAAGGTTTCAACAATCGAAAGTGACGAACGCAAAAGGAAAACACGAGTTATCCCTCTATATAAGTGACGAGTGATAACGGATACCTGCGGAAATTTCTGCTTACTAATAATTCCTTCGAAGATCAAAAGTTGTTATATAAGACTGTGAGAGGATATCTGACAATTCATAAAAAAATTGACCGTCACTACAATCGAGAACACGAAAGAAAAATAGAAAAAGTTCGTGCATTACCATGTTTTTATTAAGTATAGAATGAATAAAAACAATGACAGACACCAATATATAGATACATTATGGGAGATTCGATAACGAGCTGTCAGTTCTCACTATAATAGTTAACCAGCGGCTGCCAGGCAGGATACGCCAACATTTTGCAAGAGATGGATAGAGTACAAGCTAAACAAAAAGCGATTTTTCGTACAATCAGGGGCCATAATTCAGGAAGTTACGATCCGATATGCGCAAATATCGAAAGGAACCAAGATCTGTGGGTTATAAACTTACATTTCAAGTTTCATCAAAATCAGAAGAAAATTGTCACCTCTAGAGGGTCCATAACCTTGATCTACCATATTTTTGCGCTATTTGAGTACGAGGGGCGGCCATTTTGTCTGTCAGTTTTGGTCCTATTTAACGAAATTCGAATTCAACCATCCTTAGGGTGTAACGGTGATATACTAAAACGGTTTTTATTTAAATCGGATAAAAATTATAACCTCTATAGGGTCCACAAGCGAAAAATGCGATTTTCCGTAAAATCAGTGGCCATAATTCAGGAAGTTACGGTCCGATATGTGCGAATATCGAAAGGAACCGAGATCTTTGGGTTATAAATTTACATTTCAAGTTTCATCAAAATCAGAAGAAAATTGTGACCTGTAGAGAGTTCACAACCTTGATATATCATATTTTTACGCTATTTGAGTACGAGGGGAGGCCATTTTGTCCGTAAGTTTCGGCCCGATTTTTACGAAATTCAAACTTAACCTTTCCTTAGGGTGTAACGGGGATATACTAAAACGTTTTGTTTTTTTAAATAGGGTCCACCAGCTAAAAACTGAATCTGGAATCAATAATTGGTACCTATAACAATATTTTTCCAGCCATAATAGTCATTCGCGCACGTGCCTATCAACTGGTACTACTTTCTATACCGGGAGCACTTAAGCAAATTATAATTTGTGCTGTTTGTAGCAAAAGTAATAGAGTGTAAAACTGAAAATTAGCGTACTATTTTGTTATGCACCTTTCATACACATGTAGACTAAATAAACATGTTCAATTAATATGAAAACGGAAACCGATTAATACTTCTCGAAATTCTCGAATTAAACTTTAGTGGTTTCGACTGAAATCGTCAATTTGGGAATGAGAATGTCGGTCAATTGCTTCGTGACTGTTCTCAAGCTTAAGTTTCGTGTGCGGACCATGGGAGCGACAATATACGTCAACATAAAATCAAAGCCTTTTCATTCAGACCCCAAATCGTTATCCCATATAAGCATAACACAAGAAGTAGTCTCCGGATGCATGCGTCAATAACATAATAATATAAACAGTATATATCCATCCGGTGTCTGATTACCAAGATAGATATATTTAATCCGTGCAGCGAATTTCCTTTTCACTGTCATTTTCAATGTCATGACGACCGATGTTGATATATCACTAGCCATTCGTTCATTCGTTCCTGTGGGTTTACGTCCACTTCCACCTAGGGTGATATCGCAGATAAATGTTTCTTAAGAAACTTGCCAGAAGAAGCTACAAAAGTAGGCTTGGTCCAGCTTTTGGGTAAAGACCCGCTGTCTTTGCAGGGAAGCGTACAGGGTGAAAACTACCCAAAGGAGTAGTAGTAGTATCTTGGTGCTTCAATGTCTGCTTCCACAGAAGTGATATTGAAGGCAAGACGTAGGAGAGCCGAAGCTTCTTCCTGTTTATTTAGAATATGATTTTGCAATCTTTCCATATACGATCTTAGGCCATGGAGTGGGTTTAGTGGGAAGTTCTTCCCCTTTTTTTATTAATATTTTTTTATTATTAATAAACAGATCGTTTGGTGGTAGATCTTCTCTGGATTGGTAGATGTCATCTTTTGGATTTTAATGTTTACGTGCCAGGCCCGTCTTATCGTAACCTCCCCCTTATACTCCACTATTCCAATTTGTCGATTTGTAGTGGACTTAGTGTTTAGATGCTGAGCCCGTTTAATCGTGGTCCCCTATTACTCCACTATTCTGCTAGTTTGGTATATCTTCTGTGTAGTTCAGTGTTTAGATGCCGAGCCCCACACTGATCAGCAGTGAATATTCGCTAGGCCGCTACAATCACTGATAAGGAGGACATCAATGCGACTTAATGAGTCTCAAATATTAACTTTTTTCCACCGACAAATTAAATTCTAAAACATCTTTTTGATGTATTAGAAAAATAAATAAAGACGTTTGGCGTATTTGCAGGTAAAAATTATTTCCTAATTAGTGTAAATGGATATTAAAATGACAAAAAGGCAGCATTCTGCTCGAAGCAGTAACGTCTTATGTAAACAATGCATGCGCCATTCAGCCAATGATTGACGCCGCGTGCTGTAACGGCACGTGTTGAAGGCAGTCGTCTTTTACAGAGATATTAGATAGACTTTCGTAATTCTCTGTAAAACAGATTGGCCGAGCCCGTCTAACCGTGACTCCCTCTTACTTTACCATTCTACTTAATCCAATCGTGGATTTGTTCGAAGATTCGTAATTTAAGGTCTGGTTTCGGGAAGAGTAAGTTCCTGGTGTTGAGAGGTATGTTGTTGTTTTCCATCATCTCTACTATTTCCCTTCTCTCCTCCTTGTAGATTTTACAGTCTACTAGCACATGACTGGTAGTATTATTTCACCCCCCCCCCCCGCACTCACAGTCGATGACTTGGTGTATGAATTCTCGCAGCCGCTCTTTAACCCTTAGTTTCGATATAAGTTTGCGTATATATTTTCTTGAGTGATTGATCGCTGCCTTCGTCTAAAGGAGAAAGCTCCGGATATTAGAAGTAAAGTGTGAGCGTGCGCAGTCTGGCCCGCTTTGTCATTAATGCTACGATTTTATATATATGTTAGGTAGATTAATTAGGCCTGACTATCAGCCGGTCCCAAGGACCGCCGCCTCGATCTCCGAAATGTATCTCTAGCCCACCCAACAACCTTTATATATACAGTCAGTAACAATGATTAAACATGCATTCTTTTTTAACAATAACATTAATATAATTAATTTATATAACATCGTTATTATATAACATCTAAAGTGACAAGGAGTAGGGTCACCTGTCCATTGTCCAACCTCGTGGGTTTTCCCCGGGTCCTCCGAATTTCTCCCACTGCTAAAGACCCCTACGTACAAGCGAATTATTGAAATAAAACTGAACCATATGTTAGTCCTGAAATGACGTAGTTTCTGGCGAGTGGACGTTAAACTCCATTTCTCTGTCATATAATTATGTAATTTATATAAAATAGACTCCCCTAATTAGTGAAAATACCAGCATCGATCGTCATTTGCAATTTACGGGTTTTAACGTCCATTCAACATAAAGAGATGACACAATTTTATTCCAATAATTCGCAATCCAAGTCTAATCCAGCGGCTTCTGTCGGTCGTCGTGCACAGTGTGGGCACATAATAAGCTTGCTGTTTCTAGATTGCGTAGTATTCCAGTGTTTTGCCATTTCGCCACGAGCAACCACTTACTGATTGCTTTTTCATATCTTCCTTGTTCTAAACATCTCGATCTATGTAAAGCTCTCTTTATTGCACTTATTTTTAGATTCTCTATATCTATACATCACATTTTCTCTCATACGTACAGCTAAAACATTTCGGTATTTGACTTTGAGATTGTGTGAAATATTTTATTATTTTTTATTATTATTATACATATTCTTTCATCTAGGCAACTAAAGCAATAATCACTGTACACAAAGACAGTATATTCTCACCCAAACACAAATTGATAAATATTATAGTCTATAGGTGGTCTGCGTCCTGATACCGTTTCTACTTTGTTGCTTCCCTTGAATGACTCTTCTTGTTTACATTTTACCTGTATGGCGGGAGAAAATGGCTGATAAAATCACCAGTCGATGGAGGTAAAATAATAAATCTAATGATTATTAAACGAACTGACGAAGTACATTTAATACTACTAAAATTTGGAAATATTCTACAATCTGGCACGGTTTACAGACGTAAATTGTCAACTGAAAGTTTCACTATTAATAGTATTATTGTCCTTGACATTTCACAAGGAAACGACATGACAATAAATTCAATATAATATGCCTTAGTTTAGTTACATTTTTAGTTTCCACCCCATACTGCCATAGTATCACCATCATCCATTTAAAAAAGATGCACTGAAAGAATACTGCAGTAGAGTAGTGCAATAATTGTAGTCAAAAAGCCATTTTTAACCATTATCAGGCTGATTGACTGATTGACTATTTTTACACGAAATATTACAGCTGGTAAAAAAAAATATCAGAAGAGCATACACTATAGCAAAGCAAGTCAACAAAGAATTTAGGAATCATGTAAAAGTAAAAGAAAAATACAGGTAGTATCTATTCTTGCCAACAACGCCATCTTTAGAGATATAACCCAAATCCTTCTAGTCAAACGATGCAGCTCCTAAATTAGATTGTTGAATGAATCACTAAAAGTAAAAGGATTATTGGTCAAAATATGTATTTATAAAGATATCAATTGAAAATATTTCAACATTCTATCTGTAGACAATTTATTTCCCTCATAACACACAGTATGGTGTATGCTCATATTTACATGTATTAGCCCAGTAGCTATGAGAACGTAACTAAAAATGCTGAGATATAATGATGTGCTTGTTTTTAGCTACGATTGGATGCCTTTAGTTCCAAGTGGCAAACTCAATTTCTTTATCAATGCATTTACCATCTTAAAAATAAGTTAATTTTATACTATTAGTACTTATTACACATACGCAGTCCAATCTACTGAAACAACATTCATTTATCAGCAAATATTGACAATAAAGTAAATTAAACGTTGTTTTTATCAAAATTGATTCGGACTACTGCGCAACTCTGATCAGATTATATAGTACTTTGATTGGCTATTGCACACGAGGCCCCGCCTTTATGTGTTACAGACGTAAATTTAAAATGTCGGAAAAAGCAATCTACTGTCGCTTTGATTTAAAAAGAGGGCTTTGTACCCGTGTCAAGTAGGATTATATGCTTAATTGTATTTGGGTGTGGCAGAAATATTATAAATAACAATAATCAATCATTGTTTTGATGAAAAATTTTGTCAGTTTTGTTTACTAATGCCGAATGCGAATCGCTCCCGCATTTGCTACGTTGAAGTTAATAGGACCGACTCTTATCTCGAAACATGGAGGGTTGGGAGATGAGGTTTGTTATCTATAACCAAGTGGATTGGGTGGTCTAGTGGTTTAATTTCTGCACGTGAAACCATACCTTCTGTCATTGAGTCAAGTGGTGTGGTTTCGATTCCCCGCTTGTACATGTAATTGACAAGGAGTAGGATCAGCTGTCCAACCTTGTGGGTTTTCTCCGGTTTTTTCCCCCCCCCCCCACTGCTAAAGACTCCCTACTTGTGTACGCAAATTATTGAAATAGAATTCCATATGTTAGTCTCAAAATGACTTAGTTTGTGTCGATTGGACATTAGACCCCATTTTATTTCTGTAGAAAATGTATAAAGGAGAGAGAGAGAGAGGAATGAGGTTTAACGTCAACTCCTCACAAGTCATTTCGGGACAAACACATCATTCTATTTTATTTTAATAATTTGCTTGCGCGTAGGGGTCTTTAATAATAATAATAAAGATAAGTGTTCTTATAAAGCTTCAGACTCCAAACAGTATTGTTTGCTCAAAGCGCTAACAAAGTTTACAGGAAACAGTTATAAATTATATGAACACTGAAACAAGTAAGTTTTGAGTTTCTGTTTGAAGAAGATTAGAGATGTGGCAATTGTAGATGTAATAGCAGTCAGATGACCTAGAGAAAACCCAGGCGACTCTACTTCTTGTCACATACAACCGGCGAATCGAAACCATGTCAGTAGATTCAATAACAGACCTTATGATACAACACGTACGCGCTAACCATTCGGTCAACCAACCCCTAAAAAGTGTTGGATAAAATCTTTTAATGGACATCCTTTAAAAAACCACCTCAGGAGATTATCTACCACTGTAACCTAGGTATCATTTAATCTTGTGTATCTATCACTAATTTCTTTTACATTTGTTTAATATCGAATCTTTGTTTAAAAATTTGTAAAAATCTTTTAAAATCACCCCAAATCATCTAATATGTACTCGTGTCCAGTTTAAAGCTGGTTGATTAATTTTGATAATGAGTGTCCAATTTACAAGTATTTAATTTCCTGACCACTGTTATACATCATTAATCAATTGTGTTGTTTATTTTTCAACAGTGATTGAGAAATTAAACACTTGTAAATTGGACACTCATACTCATTATAAAATTGAATGGTCAGCTTTAAACTGGGCACAGACCGGCTTCGCTCGGGGGTCATAACTCCGGAAGTGGTAGACTAACGCCACCTAGTCTATGTTACTCCCCGGTCCGAGCTACCCCTATACCCCAAATTTCAGAATTGGGGCAGACATAGTGTAGCCGCCAACCCCGAACAGACAGACAAACAGACAGACAAACGACAGTCACATATATATATAGATTTAACAACATTTTAGGTTGGATTATCACGGATAATTTATCAGCCAAAAAAATTAAATATTGTTTTAAATACGTATGTATTTGAAGATCTGCAGCTTTATATCATATATAAATATATTTTTCAGGAAAATTACGGTAACAAATTCACAATCGAGAAAAGAGTTTAAACTTTAAACCCAGTTGATAATGCAGCATCTATCTTCGGTTTATATTATAGTGAAATATACAGCAAGCTTACAGATTGTATTGCTTTTAGCATTGCTAGCTTGTGCTGGATAACTATAACAAGTTTGAAATACAAATTTATGACAAGTTACAATGAATGCAAATCATGCAGCATTCCTCGCCAGTCAGCCATTGGATCCTATCTTACAGAATATAATCGATCTGTCACAGGCTCACAACACCTATAACCAACCTGTTATAAATAAACAGGTTGAAATAAATAAACACCCACAAGTAGAAGTTGATGATACTGGTCGTATTGCTAATGAAGGTTTACAAGAGAGTGTATGGTATGTTACTTTAGTTTTTCAAAAGGGCTGCAATAGTCCAGCGATAATGCACTTGCTTGTTCGTTCGTGAGGCTTAACATCCGTTTCCACCTAGAGTGATATTGCAGATAATTGTTTCCAAGATCAGAGGCTGGTCTAGCATAGGTTGGAGCAGTGGTTCTCAACCTTTTTTTGCAAATTGGCACACCTTGGAACACATAAAAAAAATAGCGGCACACCTGGCTAAATATATATGAAAAATATTTGAATTTAGCAAAATAAAAACATGGTAAGTCAGACGAAATGCAACCATAGACAGAGACTCGTAATAGACACATAGAATGGCTCAAACTAAATAAAAAAACACAGCTATGAACTTATCAGCGGCACACTTACATGTAGGTAGATCTCGCGGCACACTGGTTGAGAATCATCGGGTTGGAGAAAGAGAAGCGATCAGGAAATTTTACCGCCTCCAATTCCTAGACTAAAATTGCAATCGTGCCTTTTAAGGTTCATCTTGTAATGGTACTGTTGGGGACGATTCATGAAATCATTTCAATGGCATTGCTCAGATGTACAAGAAGGATAAAGTAATGCCCCAATCTGCGTAAATCGTCGTTCAGATAGGATGGAAAACCAAGGTCCTGTTTACACATTGCTATGCACGTAAAAGAACCCTGGCAGTTGGAATTCGATATAAGAGAGGGCCATAGCGCCGCTGTCCAGGCTACACACTGTATGGCTTATTCCTGTATGGCAGAACAGTAGGATGTTAAAACCCCAGTTATTTCATTTCAATTAAATGATTTTTAAACTTAAGTGCAGGTTTCCAATGACGTTGTATTATCGGTGTCAATGTTAGGCTATATAACGTGACATATTTTTTTTTAAAAGAAAAAACCACAGCAATAGACGACCTCATTTTAGGTTTGTGCACACAGGCAGAAAAATGGGGTCAATATTGGCCATTTTGCCTCCAGCCAAATCTAATCCTAGACATTAACTTTCTTTATTAACTCACAGTATGATGTCATTGCCTGCGTCATCATTGATAAGTATAGTATAAAAAATGAAATTATAATGGCTGAAAGCTTTGAACTTCTTAAACTTAATGTATTGATATCGATCTATTGTCTGTCATACATATTAATTATATGTAATTGATTTTTTAAAATTTAGCGAAGAAGTTTTTTGTTCTTATCAGCATCGTGAAATAGCACCTGGATGTCGAGCTCACCCTGGGGATATTGTAGAAGCAGGACCTCTAGCTGTAAGTACAGGATGTTCTATATATAGATACAGTCACAAACTAATTGCTCTCTAAAAGGTCATTGATATCCTAAGATTAGGTGCTGGGTTAATGTGACTCAAGAGAGAGAGAGAGAGAAATGTTGTTTAAGGTCCATTCAACGCAAACTAGGTCAGACAGGCAACGACTGCGAGTTTTACAACATCTGGCTGTTGCTTGTTTACTTCACGATTCCTGAACTTATAGCTATGTTATCTACAGACACATGAGCAGTAGCGTCCAATCAGAGGTTGTGACATCGCGACCTCCACGGAAACCTTGACATTGAATGAACCTTGAACCGTGCAACTCGATAGACAGGTAGACATTTTAGCTTGAAAGCACAAGACTTGGTATTCGCAACGATCGAGGAATCTGATATGCTCACAAGCTGGGCTTGTACCCAATCGCAATTAGTGCCAAAATATACAGGGTATTACGTGAAGGCCTTGATAAGATGTACGTAGTTAAAGCGAGATCAAGCCTTCTATTGAAGATGTTGGACAGGCAACCCTTCTCCTTGTCACGTACAAGCAGGGAATCAAAACCATGATAATTGACTCGTTGACAGACCTTAAATAATCTAACGCGCAGGATTCAAGTACTGAATACATAATCATTTAGAGGCATTTAGTAACTGGATAGCTATTGAGTAATAAATAAAATCACATACTTATGGATAACAGCTGCTGATATCTTTAGGCTGTGTTTTGATGAGTATTCTCTTACTGTTATAAAGCAAACGTTTTTATACGCCTGCATTTTCATGTGGACGTATATTGTCGACTATCGTCGCCCCTACAAAGGTTGATATTTCAAAGATCTCGGTTTCTTTCGATATTAGCATGTATCGGACCGTAACTTCATGGATTATGCCCCCTGATTGTACGTAAAATCATTTTTTATCCAATTTTGATGAAATTTTTAATTTTTGTTTATATCCCAAAGATCTTGGTTCCTCTTGATAATGGCACATATCAGACTTTAACTTCCTGGTGTTTTTAGCTTATGGACCCTATAGAGGTCAGAATATATTACCGTTACACCATAGATATGGTTCACTTCGAATTCACTGAAAATCGGACCAGAACTTCGCGTCAAAATGACTGCTGAAATTTGCGCAAATAGTATTATGAGTCTGTAATACCAAGGTTGTGGCTCCTCAAGTTATCTGATTTTGATGAAATATATGTTTATATCCCAAACATCTCGGTTGTTCTTGATAGTGGCGCATGTAGGACCGTAAGATCCTAGATTATGGCCCCTAATTGTACGAAAAATCATGTTTTTTAATATGTGAATCCTCTAAAGGTCAGAATTTTTATTTGCATCTAAAAAATGTTCAAATATATCACCGTTACACCATAATTACAGTTGAGTATAAATTTCGTGAAAATCAGACCGAAACTGTTGGACAAAATGGCCGCTCCCCTTTACATAAATTGTATAATAAGCATGTAGTACCAAGGTTATGGCCCTTCTAGTTATTTGCTTTTGATGAAACTTAAAGGACAATATTGGTGCCAGTCATTATCACATATGTGATAGAACTTGTTAAAGACGTTCCAAATATTATTTTATCACAGTGATCATTGCTACGATAGATGCGTAATCAATGTTTCAACAATTGGAAGTGACGAACACAAAAGGAAAACACGAGTTATCCCTCTATATAACTGTCTGAAGTGACGGGTGATAACAGATACATGGGCGAATTTCTGCTCACTAATAATTCCTTCGAAGACCAAAAGTTATTGTGTGAGACTGTGAAAGGATATCTGACAAGTCATAAAAAAAAAATTGACTGTCACTAGATAAGAAAACATGAAAGAAAAATAGAAAAAGTCAGTGCATTACCATGTTTTTATAAGTATAAAATGAATAAACAAATGTGAATGTACGGACTGTTTCTATTTTTCTCGTGTTCTCTTATCTAATGACATTCAATTACTTTTTTGATTTGTGAGATATATTCTTACAGTCTCATATAATAACTTTTGCGTTCGTCACTTCCGATTGTTCAAGCATTGATTACTCAGCTATCGTAGCAATGATCACTGTGATAAAATAATATTTGGAACGTGATTAACCAGTTATATCACATATGTGATAATGACTGGCACCAATATTTACAGCTGAAATTTAGGAACTAGTATTGTTCAATTCATTTAAAAAAAGAAAAGATATTTACAACGATCCTTTAGAGGCATTTAGTGACTGGATAGAGCAATAAACTAAACACATACTACTTATGGAATAACAATTACTAATTTATTTGGGTGAGATTGTGAAGACTCTTCTCCTAACAAGTACGGTAACAAATGTCACTGTAAACCAGGTACCATTTAATCTTGTGTATCTAGTACTGATTTCTTTCACATTCGTTTAATATCAAATCTTTGTTTAAAAATTTGTAAAACCTTTTTAAAATCACCATAAATCGTTTAATTTGTACTTCTGTCCAGTTTAAAGAATAGATCTCTGCTCTAAATGGTCGCCATATCCAAAAATGAGTAATGCATTTCTACTCCATTTCTTATTTGTTTTACACACAAAGACTAAATATAAACTTTTTCAATTTTATTAAATGGAAGCAGAATGAATACTCCACAAAATTCCTGAAGTTTACTTAGTGTTTTTTGGCTAAAATCGTCGCTTTAGAACTCAAAACGTCGGTCATCTTGCTTATTGTCTGGTCTAAAGACAGACAGCCTTAGTTTAGTACATGCATAGGCGTACGAGCAGGGGGTGCTGGGGGACGGCCCCCCCCCCTCCATTTTGGGCACCAAATGCTGGTTTTTGGCTAAAATCGTCGCTTTAGAACTCAAAACGTCGGTCATCTTGCTTATTGTCTGGTCTGTAGACAGACAGCCTTAGTTTAGTACATGCATAGGCGTATGAGCAGGGGGGCTGGGGGGGGGGGGCCCCCCCCCCCATTTTGGGCACCAAATGCTGGGAAAATTTGGGCACACAATTGTACTTTGTAAAAATTGTATAAAAAAATATTGTGTTCTTGAATGTGTCCAATTTAACAGCGAATTTATTATTATTATGTAACATACTAAGAACCTAACTACATTTTTGGGGCACCAACCACCACCGCCCACCCCCCCCCCCCCCCCCCCCAGTCAAAAATTTCCCCGTACGCCTATGAGTACATGTATGTATATTTATAATAACACCTTTTTCCCTCTAGCAACAGAGTATCCAGTTTCTATTATTAAAGCAATAATGAATAATAAGTTCTGATTTTTTTAGCCTTGGTTAAGTGTATTTGAGTGTAAAGACCTTTTCGTTAATGTGTTTGTTTGCCATTGACCTTGAAAAGTAACTTAACTGCACTTGTAAAATACATGTAATAACCCTATTAAGACAAAAAGTATGGGGTATATTTATTTAGAATGCATGCAAACTGTCAACAAGTAGAAAAAAAACTAATGAAATTTTGGATAAATAGATATTATAATACACTGTAAAAGTGAGGGGGGTTGGATGGCTGAATGGTTAGTGTGCGCGCGCTGTATCATAAAGTCTGTCATTGAGTCGACTGGCATGGTTTCGAATCCCCGGTTGTACGTGACAAGGAGTAGGGTCGCCTGTCCAACCTCGTGGGTTTTCTCCCTGTCCTCCGGTTTCCTCCCACTGCTAAAGACCCCTACGCGCAAGCGAATTATGTAAATAAAATTAAACCATATGTTAGTCCCGAAATGACCTAGTTTGTGTCGAGTGGACGTTAAACCCCATTTCTCTCTCTCCCTCTCTCTCTGTGTTGTATTTCATATTTGATAAGAGAGAGAAATGAAATGAAATGGGGTTTAACGTCCTACTGTTTTGCACCTAACTGGGCTAATGAAGACGGGTATACGCCATACAGTGTGCTATGAGGGAAATTTTGCCCGGACAGCAGCACTACGGCCTACTCTTATATCGAATTCCAACTGTCAAGGGCTCTTTTACGTGCACGCCAATGTGTACACGGGACCTCGGTTTTTCGTCTCATCCGAATGACTAGACAGCTGTCCTTGTCAGGCCCTCCGTCCTGCATCAATGACAAGGAAGAATCACGCCGGAAAATCGGGATGAACTTTCTCGGCCAATGCAGGGATCGAACACCCGACCTCCAGGCTAGCGAGCCAGCGCCTTACCCACTTAGCCACCGTGATCCCCGATAAGAGAGAGAGAAAGAAATGGGGTTTAATGTCCACTCGACACAAACTATTTCAACAATGTGCTTGTGCGTAGGGGTCTTTAGCAGTGGGCGGAAACCGAAGAAAACCCACGCGGTCGTACAGGCGACCCTACTCCTTGTCACATGCAACTGGGGAATTAAAACCACGCCAGTTGACTCAATGACAGACCTTATAATACAGCGCGCATGTGATAACCATTTGGCCATCCAACCCCCCATATTTGATCAGAGTTATCCCTGTGTTTACAATAAAATTTATGAAAATTAGCTCAAATTCTGTGTGTAATTTGTTACATGTACATGTAACAGAAAAATAATGACTTTATATGTACATGCAGAATTGTAGAACTTTTTTAAAATTGTATTTTGCGTTCGAATGGAGTTATCCCTATGTTTACGTCCATATTTGTTAAATCTACTGAATGTGATGCAGGTCAGAGTTCTTGACAAAATGTTTTAAATCTCTGTGTGATTGTTGATTATATGTAGGTTATTAGGCAAAACCTATTGATTTTCAATATTTTTCTATCATGAATTTCAAGAGCATTTGCGGAGTTAACCCAATTGAAATTCAGAATAATTCAGTAGTGTATTGCAGAGTTACATGTATTTCCCCTTAAACTTTCAAGTTTATGAAATCTTGTAAACAAGTTTGTTTTCCATTCACATTTTTAGTTTTATTGCTCTGTACAGAGTTCATAATGGATTTTATTAAGCCTGTTTTGTGGGATTTGTTGACAATAATTTTAGATCATTAACATGGGTGAATTTTCTGCTGGTGTGTGTATGAAGGCCTGACAAGTATGAAATATATATTTTGATTTTTCAGGCCTTGCCTCTACCTGATGAATATTATCCTATTTGTGATAGTTTACCTAAAGAAATAATAGAAGAAGGAAAATTGAGTAGTTTACAGTTAGAAGGTGTTATACATGCTGTAAGTTATTATATAGGCCTACACTGGTCAGTATATCTGCCTACACAAGTCATAGATTATATACATGTAGGCCTTCACAAGTCATAGGTTATATAGGCCTACACTGTTAGTAGATTATATAGGCCTGCTCTAGATCTGGCCATGCATTATATAGGCCTGCTCTGGTCGTACAAAAATCTGAATAGAAATGTGAATTGTGTCACTAGACCTGTTTTTTTCCAACCAAAAAGTGCCTGTAGAATTTTGGGGTCTACAATGTCAGAAGGGGTTTATCAAAAATGTAAGTGCAAAATGGTGTTATGCTCTAAAGTCCTTAGGAAATCTGATTCAATATTAATGCAGATGTGGGGATTTTTCAGAGATATTGTAAAATGTTCCAATTGGTCAGCAAGCGGAAAAAAGTTTGGAAACACTGCACTAGACAACAGTCCTATTGCAGGTGAGCTCAGTGTCAAGGCGGTATGATGTGTTAAGTATTGAAGTCTTGTGTTATATTTCAGTGTCAGAGACATCAAGTTATATTACCAAATGGACAAAGAGCAGGATTCTTTATTGGTGATGGTGCTGGTGTTGGTAAAGGTAGACAGGTAAGTATCTACCTTGCTCAATATTAGGGTTACACCGTATAGTGAATCCAACCAGATAGTCGAAATACATTGCTGTTTGTATTCTTTAAAGCAAAAATAGGGCTGTGGTAGTTAGAGCTGCAACGATTCAGTTCGGTGCACCGATAACCGACACTAGCCGTCTCGGTTCGATCCACGATCTACAACGTTCAAATTTCGATTCGGTTCAATTTCAAATAAAAACAATGTACACCTTACCATATGAAAAAAAATGAAAGACCTGTAGCAATTAAGTCCACTTAAAATTTAAAAAAAACTTTGTTTTTACGTAACTTTTAATTTACGTTATTTAACAAAACACGAATGTCACTCGAAAACATAACTAAAACAGAGTGACCTCCCTTTAAAACAATTTCCGTATGCTGACGAAAGTTAATTTATTTAAAATTGGTGACGTACCGAATGTTTATTGGATGTTAATTTAGGTCAATAGCTTCGGTAATCGTTATATAAATTCTAAGCGATCTCATTAGCTGATAATTCAGGTCATTATCTTTGGATATTTTCGTGTTTAGCGATTATTACCCATAGTCAAGCAAACACTGGAAGGTAAAATTATGGCAGACGACGTACTTTCTCGACCACCTGGTCATATGAAATCTAAAGTTTGGGATCATTTTGGTTTAAGAAAAAACTCTAAAGATGTGGCAACTTGTAGAGTATGCTTCACTGACATATATATAGAAAAAATTACTGGTTATTGTAGCTGATAATCGAATCGAATGGTTAAAATCGATAATCGAACCGAATCGAGGTAGTTGTGAATCGTTGCAGCTCTAGTGGTAGTTGAGTGGTAGGGTACTTGACTGTTGACTAGAGTGTTCATGGGTTAAAATTCCTGACTTATACTGAGAAGAAGATTCACCGGATATTTCTCGCTCGGTTCATAATATAAACTCTGGAAAGTTGGAATTTGATGAAGTGTTTGCTTGATAAACCCAAGTACCATCTTCGAAACATGGTATGTTAAAGGACAATATTGGTGTCAGTCATTATCACATATGTGATAGAACTGGTTAGATATGTTCCAAATATTATTTTAACACAAAGATCACTATTATGATAGATGCGTAATAAAGGTTTCAACAATCGAATGTGACGAATGCAAAATGAAAACACGAGTTATCCCTCCATATATCTGACTGAAGTAAACGAGTGATAACAGATACAAAGGCGAATTTCTGCTCACTAATAATTCCTTCGAAGACCAAAAGTTGTTGTGTGAGACTGTGAAAGGATATCTGACAATTCAAAAAAGTAATTGAATGTCATTAGATAAGAGAACTTGAGAAAAATAGAAATAGTCCTTAGTAACATGATTCATAACCAGGTCAATATTTACCAAGAAAACAACAAGATAAATAAAAAAATGATGATTTTAGTCCTGCTGTTTTATACCATGATATTGATGTGGATCAAAACAAAGACCAAAACAATTTAAGGGGGTTTGTGTACCCATGGATCTGAATAATTAGGGTGACGAAACAAGAATTACGATACATAAATTCAGCGTCTCGCGATTCAATATGCGAATTGTGTGAAGGTGAATCGCAATACATCGATTCAACAATATATCACGTCAACAGCCCTATACTAATTAGTCCATAGTGTCTTAGTATGTTACTGTTCAATACCTAAATGCCACTCAAGATATTCTAGACAAAACTAATGTTTTATATTTTACAGATAGCTGCTATAATATTTGATAATGTTTTATATTTTACAGATATCTAGTATAATATTTGATAATGTTTTATATTTTACAGATAGCTAGTATAATATTTGATAATGTTTTATATTTTATAGATAGCCGGTATAATATTTGATAATTTTGTACGTGGTCGGACCAAGAATATTTGGTTTACTATTTCTACAGATCTTATTGTGGACTCCAGGAGGTAAATTCTATTTATTGCTCTCATTCTAATATGAAGATTTCACTGCTTGCCGTACTCAAATAATTATGTGAAATTAAAAAAAATTGTTTATCAATCAAAGAAACTACAGTTGTTGTATATTTATTGAATAGAAAAACTTTTGATAGTTTTGTTTTAATTTTTTATATCTCAGAGACCTGAGTGATATTGGTTGTTTTGTAAAAGTTATTGATGGATGTCAAGAGTTGGACAGAGAAACAAGGTCGGTATAATTTGACCTTTTTCAGCTATCAGCTAGAAATTGCTTTGTATAGCTACATGGAGCTGCGGTGGCTCAGTGAGTAAGAAGTTGTCTCGCTAACCATGATTTTTACGACATGGTTCCCCCTTGTCAGTGGTGTAAGACAAAGGGCTTGGCAAGGGACAATGTATAGTGGTTTGGTTAGGATGAAAAAACAAGATCTCGAGTTCTACTCCAACTGGTTGTGTGTTGTTCGATCCCTGTGTTGGCCCAAAAAGTTCATCAACATATTCCGAATTGGTTTTCCAGTGTTGGGGGTGCAAGACAGAGGACCTGACAAGGACAGCTGTCAAGTCGTTCAGATGAAACATTGGCGTGCACATAAAAGATCCCTTGGGAGTTGGAATTGGATATAATAGTAGGCAGTAGCTAGAGCTGGTGTCCTGACAAAATTTACCTCATAGCACACTGTATGGTATATGGCTGTCTTCATTAACCCAGTCATATGGCTACATGTAGGATTGATGTGGAATATATTCTACACAAATATATGTCATATATTGGCTGATTGTCTAACTGACAACTGACTAAAAGCAAACCTGGTCACATACATTGTCACACACAAAATCAGACTTTTCATTTATCAGAGTTATTCGAATTCTTCGTTTTATCTATGATTTTCTGTCGATTGTCAAGTATCTTTTCTATGATACATTTTCAAACAGTGGTAGCGTGGTGAAGAATAAATTAATTGGAATGAAATTTTCAATATATTCAACTCTTTATCTAAATCTTCCATAATGCATCTTCAAACAAACTTGGCAATATGGTGCCGGTTTACTAGACAGAAAGTCCTGGATTCCTGGTGTTACATGTATCTGAGAAAGTTCTTCAGGATGTTCCAGCCTGGTTTCCCCATGTTAAACTCTCCTTTCGTAGCTATATTTTATAGCTACAGAAATAATTCAGTCCACTGACAGTTGGGGGTTGGACATATTCCTGAAGCAATGGCCTGAGAAATCCCTCTCTGGCCATTGCTGGATTAGCTTCTGATACTTGCGCTTTTGAGGGAGTGTGTCTATTCTTTCCGTTCAATCAAATCTAACCAAAAGCACAGCAACATGACAGCCCTTTGTTTAATCAGGGGTCTCCCTAAAACTTTGGACAGTGATTTAAGGTATTAAAAACAGTGAAAGTGTTGTTCGTCTCAAAACAATATTGTTTACATTATATCCACAAAGTAAAATCGTGTTGATAGCCTTGTTTGTCACACAATTAGTTTTTCTGCAATATTCTGCTATGCACTGGTTAATTGGGCATAATAAAATCGTGAGTCATGACCTAACGTTATGTAAACATATTTGGCCCAATTTGGAGCTCTGTTTGGTATTGTTACTCAGTAAGCTATTGGTTGTTAATCGCCCTATTGACCAGTCATAATTTAGAACATAATTTAGCTCTAATCAAACGAAACACTGCGAGGGGTATGGGGGTTGGATCTCTCTCTCTCTCTCTCTCTCTCTCTCTCTCCACCAACAGTATCTACTATGTATTTTTATGTATGTGAAGATTATTATGTTTATATAATTCAATGTGTTATTTTTGTGTAACAGAGTTCTAGGATTACCAACTGATTTTAAAGAAGGGGTTGTATTTAGTACTTACGCTACTCTTGTATCATCTGTAAACAGGGGAGGTAAGTAGAAACATGTAACAAGGGGAGATAACTATTTAGTAACCTCTACTTTTGGAGGCAAGACCGCCACTAATTTCCCCATTGACTTCAATGTTAATTCTGGCCTCTTTGCCCACCTCCAACTTTTCCAAAAAATTTTCATTGGGCTGAATGCTTTTCACTACAGACAGAGGAACAAATGGTCGTGTCTTTGCACTATATTTGTACGAAGTTGACCAAATTGAAATTGAAAAAATTGAAACACAAATAAGACGATAGTGGCATTGTCAGGGCAGAATATCCCTGCTAAACTTAATTTGTCTATCTACAACTAGCTCCGTTTGAGAACAGACACTTAGCTTGTTGACTGACAACTAGTCAAAACCACTCAGTATACTTCGCAGATTTTGAGAAATGTTTATTTCATTTCCATTTAATAAAATAGAAAAGGTTTATTTAGTCTTTGTGTGTATGACAGATGTGAAACGGAGAAGAACTGCATTGCAAAACAGTGTATCAATTTTTAAATATGGTGGCTGTTTAGGGCAGAGATCTATTCTCGAAGTAGATAGTTCTCTGTGAGTAGAATGAGCACTCTGCATGGTGTAGGTCAATCATCATTAAACTGGCTGGTACAGATATAACACGTTAAACACCATTTTATTTTTATTTTATTTTCAGGTGCGTTAAATTCTAGTAAACACAGTAGATTACAGCAGTTGATTGATTGGTGTGGTGGTGATCAGTTTGATGGATGTCTTATATTTGATGAATGTCATAAAGCCAAGAACTTTGTTCCTGTAAGTTGGCTCGTACTTTATTCAGTACTGGAGTGGGTTTGTCTTAAATTGGATTTTCACTTTGCTTTTCCTGCATGGTGCTAACACAACACCATAAAGGGTCCAGTATTTACCCCAGAATAGCTTAAGATCTGATTTAGAGGATTGTCAGTCTTGATTTTTGTTTTAACAGCAGTAATTGGAGGTCATGATTTATATTATTTTTTAACATTTATTTTTTAGGGGAAGGAAACTGCCAGCACAAAAATAGCAATAGCTGTTACAACTATACAAAAGTAAGAATATTTTATTTAATATGTTTAGCTATATTTTGGGGGACTTATTTTCAAATATGGATATCTGAGGTTGACATCAGTTTTTTTATGGTCACATTTTAAATTATATATTTAGTTATTTGAGATTATTACTGAAGTTTTATTTTCGTGTTTTCCAGTGGGAGCAAGGGAGACAACTGCCGGCAGGAATATTACTAGGCATGACTGCCGGCAAGGACATCAATTTTTATATGGTCACGTTTTCCATTATAAATCTATTATTATTTTATATTTGATATTTTCAGATTGTTGCCAAAAGCTCGAGTAGTTTATTGTAGTGCTACAGGGGTAACTGATGTTAAAAATATGGCGTTCATGGAGAGATTGGGATTGTGGGGAGATGGTGCTCCATTTCATTCATTTGAACGATTTATAGAGTCAGTCCAAAGAAAAGGTTTAGGTAAGATCTTAGAGGCTGAAATAATTTTCTTTCACAGTGAATTGATCGGAATATAATATCAATTACAAAGGTTCTTTAAGAGTTAGATTAATAGACAGTGCCAAAAAAATACAAAAGTAAAAAAAAAGAAAGATAGTACGACCCAGTGATGGGATTTCAAAATTTTAGTTGTCAGACATTTTCTTCCCGAAAATAAAGGGACATAACTCTTATCGTTATTTAAGCAGGCGTTTTCAAACCACAATTAAGAATCATGTGTCAACAAAATATTCAAATTCATACATAATAAAAAATATTAGATGCACCTCGTAATTTTTCATATTTAATTCCCGTACGGTGTTCAAATTTATGTCGATAATATTCCTAAAAAATTACATGACATCGTAATACCATAGAATGAAAGCGTGCCGACTACTGCCCATCCATACCAGTTTCAAATTCCCTCAAAATTACCCTATTTTCCGGGTCATAAGTCGATACATTTTTCAGCAAAGTCCGGCATTCGTCTTATACCCCGTTTCGATTTATATACGGAAGGTAAAAAATGACATCCCAAAATTTATTTGGCCGTAAACTGTAGTAAACGTCGCTCTAACAGAACAAGCGAGTGACACCAACTGCTAAATAATCCCATTCGACTCTAAGAACGCGCTATCGTCTAAAAACAATTACTGTAACTACTTACGTTATTCCAATCAAAATATTCGTCAACATTTCTTAACGTGTTTATTTATTTATTTAAAAACATAAACTCCATTCAAAATATGATCATAAATCCGACAATATGCCATTAAAATAGAATCTTTTCTGCCGACATCAGACGTATTACACCTCTTAATTCCACGTGTCTCGCGAGATTTTTACTTTCATTTTGCGTGTTTGTGAAATAGCTTTATTTAACTTCGGCTTCAACTGAAGAAATGTCACAGACAAGTTATCGGACACAATGTATATTGGGGTGTTATATACTATTAGGATATGTGACATATATGACTAATGTCTACGGCCGACATCAAGGAGATTAAAACGTGAGACAATGGAGAAATCACGGGTTAATCACATGGATTAAGTTTATTGGATTGATAAATAGTTCGAAAAAGGAGAATCAATGACTTCTGTTCAGGATTGAATTGATGAATTGTCCGACAAAGAATTAAGTCAGTCAATCAAGGCAGATTAAGTAGTTAATCAAGGTAGTGTATAGACGGCATAAAACAATAAATATGTTGATCACTTAATTACCTAATCAATCCAGCATATTATCAACGATAATCGGGTTGAGTGGTAGTTATGCACTCAGCACACTATATTAATTTTGGAATTTTGAATATTATTTACCATGTCTTGATGTCCGATTGGGCATATTCCTGGTCGGACAATTTAGGACGTTTGGAAAATAGCGTCGGACATGTCCAGAATATACGGGCAAAATCCCGTCACTGGTACGACCATACAAAATTGACGGTATAATTTAATTTAAAAATGGATAATCAAGACTCTTGTTTATTATCGTAAAAACAGTAGCAATGACAAACGAGACTACACTGAAATTTTCAACATATTCCCTTTTCATTATCTAGTTTTTAGCTATTATAGCGAGAACGGTCAGCTCTTTATCTAAATCTGACATTATCCATCTTTAATGCTTTATAACTGATAGTAAGTAAAGGCATTATAGAATTAAATGAATGATGTTAAAATGGTTTTGTTGTGTTTTAGGTATAGCGGAAATGTTGGCTATGGAGATGAAAACTACAGGAATGTATGTTTCTAGAGGCTTATCATTTAAACAGGCAGAGGTAATGTGGCTACCTTACTCAGAAAATAAACTCTTTATATCTGAAATACATCAATTTTTTTTTTTCAGAAATCAAAGAGCACATATTTCTGAATTCTAGAAATATAAAATAAATTGCCTTGGCAGGTTAGAATATCTAGTGTTGACATGCATAACATATTTTAACAGATAGACTAATTGAGTCACAAGTGGACATTCATCCTAAAATATATTGTATAAAAGGTACAGATAAAATGAATGTAATGGGGTTCAAAGCCCGTCAACATAAAGTTGTTTGTGTATTTCAGTTTCTTCCAAGCTAAACTGTCTTAAATAAAGTTGTTGTGGTTAATTCAGTTTGTAACAATAGAAGCTGTATTAGATGGAGTTGCTGTCTTTTTATTACAGTTTGTAACAAGAGAAGCTGTATTGGATAAAGTTATTATCTTCTATTACAGTTTGTTACAATAGAAGCTGTATTAGATAAAGTTGTTTTGTATTTTATTACAGTTTGTTACAATAGAAGCTGTATTGGATAAAGTTATTATCTTCTATTACAGTTTGTTACAATAGAAGCTGTATTAGATAAAGTTGTTTTGTATTTTATTACAGTTTGTTACAATAGAAGCTGTATTGGATAAAGTTATTATCTTCTATTACAGTTTGTTACAATAGAAGCTGTATTAGATAAAGTTGTTTTGTATTTTATTACAGTTTGTTACAATAGAAGCTGTATTGGATAAAGTTATTATCTTCTATTACAGTTTGTTACAATAGAAGCTGTATTAGATAAAGTTGTTTTGTATTTTATTACAGTTTGTTACAATAGAAGCTGTATTGGATAAAGTTGTTTTGTATTTTATTACAGTTTGTTACAATAGAAGCTGTATTGGATAAAGAACAAAAACAGATGTATAATACAGCAGCTCATGTCTGGTAAATAACATATAAAGTCAAATTTAAAGTCCTGATACATATTTTTAGCATAATAGAATTACTTGCAAACTACAGTATTTAGAAAGATGAATCTCCCAAAGGATTATCAGTCCCAAAATGGTTCAATTCTGTTTAGTATTTACAAAGATATGTTGAACAGTGGTGCCAAGAAATGTATTATATATGTAATTTCTATAATCTTATATACAAATGTGTTTAATGAAAGTTGCTTTGTACTTTAAAAGAGAAGAATTTGTCACTGTCTTCTATAATCAGAAGTTTGGTTTTTCTAAAATAATCTTTTTCTTTTCATTGTTAGGAATGAGTTACGTAAGTCATTAGAGAGTGCTGTAGTTAGAACGGGTTCTACCAACACTAGAATCTGGGCTCAGTTCTGGTCAGCTCATCAAAGATTCTTTAAACAACTATGGTAAATAAACAGATTTATTGTAATACTTGTAAATTTTGGTGATCATACTGATTTGAGGGGGAGATTGGTAATTTATGACAAGTCTATGTAATTTTTATCCAGTTTAAAAAAAACGTTTAAATATATCACCGTTACACCCTAAGGATGGTTGAGTTCGAATTTCATAAAAATCAGACCAAAACTGACAGACAAATGGCCGTCCCTCGAACTCAATAGCGTAAAAATATGATATCAAGGTTCTGGACTCTCTAGAGGTCACAATTTTCTTCTGATTTTGATGAAACTTGAAATGTAAGTTTATAACCCAAAGATCTTAGTTCTTTTCGATATTCGTGCATATCAGATCGTAACTTTCTGAATTATGGCCCCTGATTGTACGAAAAATCACTTTATTAGCTTCAGGTCCCGCTAGAGGTCACAATTATTATCCGATTTATAAAAATGTTCAAATATATCACCGTTACACCGTAATTTAGGCGGAGTTCGCGCCCCTCGTACGCAAATAGTCTATTAGGGGTAACCCACCGCACAAACTGTCTAGCAGTGGTCATTCATGATTCCTGTGGTGGTACTGAACAACTCCAAAGCTGTTTTAGGGGGTACAGATTTCAACTAATCTAGCCTAGCTGTGGACTGGAAATTAGATAACTCTTGTCAGGGATACTCTACCACTACAAATGTCTGACAATTACATAGCTCTGTCAGGGGTAACCCACCACTAGAAATGTCTGTTAGAGTGTTTTTGTAACACCTGAAGATGTACGGTACACTGCTGTACAATTTTCATGTGGTACACTTTTGAGCTAATCTAGCATTTTGGGCGTGGAATACCACACTTTTCAGTTAGGTTCGTCCCCTGGGCTCCTGGTCTATAATGAAATTTGAATTTCGGGAAAATCGAAATGAAACTGGCTGACAAAATGTTCGCTCTTTGTACGCAAATTGTGTAAAAGTATGCAATACGAAGGTTGTGGACCCTCTAGCGATCACAATTTTTATTCGATATCTTTATATCCAAAGATCTGATTCCCTTTTGATATTTGCCCATTTCAGACGATAACTTTCTGAATTATTGCCCCTGATTGTACAAAAAAATCCTCTTTGTTTTTAGCTTGTTCTCTATCCATCTCTTGCAAAATGTGGGCATATCCTGCCTGGCAGCCGCTGGTATTCTTAAAGCCTGAGGGGGGTTGGATGGCCGAATGGTTAGCACGCACGCGCTGTATAATACAGTCTGTCATTGAGTCAACTGGCGGGGTTTCGATTCCCCGGTTGTACGTGACAATGAGTAGGGTCGCTTGTCCAGCCTGGTGGGTTTTCTCCAGGTCCTCCGGTTTCCTCCCACAGCTAAAGACCCCTACGCGCAAACGAATTATGGAAATAAAATTGAACCATATGTTAGTCCCAAAATTACCTAGTTTATGTCGAGTGGACATTAAACCCCATTTCTCTCTCTCTCTCTTAAAGCAGATGTGATCCTCAATCACTAAACGCTACGTAAAGATTATGATAAGGTTATTAATGATGTATCATGTGTATTGATGATGTATGTGTATTAATGATGTATGTGTATTAATGATGTATGGGTATAATGATATATATGTGTATAATGATGTATGTGTATTATATAGTATGGGTATGAAGGTACCAACCATAGTTAAAGAAGCTAAAGAAGGATTAGATAATGGTTTTAGTATTGTTATTGGTCTACAGACAACAGGAGAAGTAAGTAAATATAAACTTTAAGTTGCTAATCCTCATTATGCATTTTTATGTCAATACTTAATCTTCAATAAGATCGACTCAAATTGATCATTTAACACTCAATTAAGAAAACCAGACCAAGATGGCAATGTTTTACAATCTCCCATCTTGGATTCAATCAGATTGAAAAGGATTCATCAACAGATGTTTTGTGTATTCTACTGCAAAGGCTGTCCAGAGTTTCGGGGGTCACGGTGGCTAAGTGGGTAAGACGCTGGAGTGCTAGCCTGGAGGTCGGGTGTTCGATTCCTGCATTGGCCGAGAAAGTTCATCCAGATTTTCCGGCGAGCTTCCCCCTTGTCAGTGATGCAGGACGGAGGGCCAGACAAGGACAGCTGTCTAGTCTTTCGGATGGGAAGAATCACCGACGTCCCATGTACACATTGGCGTGCACATAAAAGATCCCTTGACAGTTGGAATTCTATATAAGAGTAGGCTATAGTGCTGCTGTCCGGGCAAAATTTCCCTCATAGCACACTGGATGGCGTATACCTGTCTTTATTAGCCCAGTTCGGAGCAGAACAGTAGGATGTTAAACCCCATTTCATTTCATTTCTGTCCACTCTTTCAAAAGTTTTAATCATCATGTGATCTCACTTTGTAAATTTTTCTAATCATGATGCTGATGATGATGTGCAGAAAGCACATGGAAGATGATCGCTAATCCCGATACAAATGAGTTTTGAATTTTAATGTTGTATGAAATATGTTATTTATTTCAGGCCTCTCTAGTTAGTGAGTTGAACCGTTCTAATGGGAATGTTATTTATTTCAGGCCTCTCTAGTTAGTGAGTTGAACCGTTCTAAAGGGAATATATCTGGATTTGTATCGTTATGTAGAGAAATCCTGATGTCTTTCATTCGTAACTTTTTTCCTACCAAATTCGAAAAATCAGTAAGTATTCTTATATTGACACTCATATTTCTAAGTATTGTTAATGAAATTTGGGGGATCACGTGGCTAAGTGAGTAAGACGCTAGCTCGCTAGCCTGGAGGTCGGGTGTTCGATCCCTGCATTGGCCGAGAAAGTTCATCCAGATTTTCCGGCGTGGTTCTCCCTTGTCAGTGATGCAGGACGGAGGGGCTGACAAGGAAAGCTGTCTAGTCATTCGGATGGGACGAAAAACCGAGGTCCCATGTACACATTGGCGTGCACGTAAAAGATCCCTTGGCAGTTGGAATTCGATATAAGAGTAGGCCGTAGTGCTGCTGTCCGGGCAAAATTTCCCTCATAGCACACTGTATGGCGTATGCCCGTCTTCATTAGCCCAGGTTAGGAGCAGAACAGTAGGACGTTAAACCCCATTTCATTTCATTTCATTTAATGAAATTTGGTTGAACATCTTAACATTTAATTTCGGGGAAAAAATGTCCCTTTCATCACACTACATGGCGTATGCCCATTTGGAACTTAAACCCCATTTCATTATATTTCAATAATATAATTTGTTATTTTAGCAAGAAGATGGTCCAGAGGAGGATAGCTGGAGTGTAACAGCATGTAATATGTTAATAGATTTTGCTCAGAAAATCAAATTACCCAATAGGTTGGTTATGTTTTACAGTTTTACATACAGAAATAAGATGAGGGTTTAATGAAGATGGGCATATGCCATACAGTGTGCTATGAGGGAAATTTTGCCCGGGCAGCTGCACTATGGCCTACTCTTATATCGAATCCAACTGGCAAGGGATCTTTTATGTGCACGCCAATGTATAAACAGGATCTCGTTTTTTTGTCCCATGCGAATGACTAAACAGCTGTCCTTGTCAGGGCCTCCTTCCTGCACCGCTGACATAGATGAAACCATGTTGGAAAATCTCGAACTTTCTTGGTCAATGCAGGGATCAAACACGCGACCTGCAGGCTAGCAAGCTAGCGTCTTACCCACTTAGCTACCATGGCCCCACCCATGGCTCCCGTTTTACATTATCCTGGTTATCAAGCATTTTTGCTTCATAAAGAGTAGAGAATCGGTGTCGAAACACAGTGATTAAGTGGGTAAGACGCTGGCTTGTTATCCTGGAGGTAGCGTGTTTGATTGCTGTGTTGGCCGAGAAAGTTCATCGGGATTTTCCAAATTGATTTCCCCTTGTCGGTGGTGCAAGACCAAGGGCCTGACAAGGACAGCTGTCTTGTCATTTGAATGAAATCAAAAAAACAAGGTCCCATGTATACATTGGCATTGACGTAAAATATCCCTTGGCAGTTGGAATTCGATACAAGGGTAGGCCATAGTGCCGATGCCCGGACAAAATTTCCCTCATAGCACACTGTATTGTGTATGCCAGTTTTCATTAGCCCATTCAGAGCGGAATAGTAGAACAATAAACCTCATTTCATTTCATTTTAATTAAATGTCCAGACCTTCCAACCTTACAGATTGTTCACAAGAGAATTATTAAAATAAAGAATTGCCATGTACAAGTACTAAAATGACCAAATCATATTGTCAAGATGGACATTATAAATCCTGTTTCTTTTAATAACTTTGTTTAATGGTAGAACTTGATGTATCTTTAGTCCTCTAGATGAGATTATAGATCAACTAGGTGGTCCGAGTAAAGTAGCCGAGATGACTGGTAGAAAGGGTCGTATTGTGCGGAGAACAACCAGCAGTACACCTCAATATGAACAGCGGGGAGCTGAATCTGATATAGGGGTAGAAAGTCTCAATGTGAAAGAGGTAAAAGGAGCCTTTCTTTATTGAAATTCGACTGATGTACAGGTTGTGTCAGGCACTAACTGATTGTTTTGTTACTCTGAATCGAATGACATTAAAGGAAGGATATTGAAAAAGGCTCAGTTCTTCGGGTTTGTTTCAAGTTATTATGTATGTAACTTTCATAGCCACATCAACCTATCATAGTAGTTGTTGCTTTTGCTAATTAGAAATTTCTTGATTTTTCTGTTTCCGTGGAAACAATGGCTGGAATGTTGATGATTAGTCTTCTTGTTAACATTTTCCTCATTCAAATAGATATTTGTGGGAACGCCAACTAATATATATCTGTTTGTAAAATAGTATGATCCATGTGTACATTATAATGTGACCAAGAAATGCTCATACATTAATCATTTCTACTACTTTTGGTAAGATTGTCAGTAATTGTCATATTTATTTTGTAG